GCAGGTGCTGGCTACAATGTACTTTCTGCTTACCAGGTACCTCGCGCCAAATATATGCCGGGGTACGCCGCGCTCCGCAGCTGAGTACCTGGTATCTGGGTACCTACCCGGCTGGTACGTACCGAGATACACCAGCATGTACAGAGTGTACTTTACAGCAATTTGTGCCACGCTATACCCTCGTCCTCTTCCCGTCCACTGGCCCCCTGTGCGTCTAAGTACTCGGTACACCAGACGGCTACATGTATGTACCAGGAGGGCCACCAGACAGCAGCCAGATTAGGCCTGGCCCTTCTGCTCTCAAGCGAGTGCTGGCTGGGCCCATGGCCAGTAGTCAGTAGCCCGTGGCCCGTGGCCCGTGGCCCATAACCCACAACCCAGTGCCTAGGGCGTAGTGCCTCGTGCTAGTGCCCATTGCCCATATGCCCATTGCCCACCCCCAGTCTACACACTCCTCCACTTCGACTCTCCATTTGCCATTCTCGTCGACTCGACTTCCACTTTCTCACTTACGTCCCAATCCTTCACGCACTCTCTTTTTCTTCTCCTCTCCGTTTCTTCTGTTCCGCCTTGACCTTGACAGTATCTCGCTCATCAGGCACCCTCGTGCGCTCGTTTGATTTCCACGACCTCGCAACTACGATCGGAAACCCACCCTGGTGGGCGATGCACTGTTGTGTATCCCGATTCTGCCATTCAACTCCAAAAGTTGCTGCGAAGCTGAGGTTCCTTCGCACGTACACGTCTCCCGACAGCGCATACCCATCAACACTCACAAACGCCGAGCCAATACCTCTACATTCTAATTAAGGGTCCGGCTCTTCTCCGGACCTATCGCCTCGATACACACAGTCTGCCTGACCGACGGCTCAAGCGTTTCCTTTATGTATTACTCCTACCAGTGTTCCTTGCAGTCACACACCCCAGCTTGTGTCAATTCATCGCTCAGCGAACCTGTTGCACCCTCCGTTTCTGCCCACGGGTTATGAACATAATCGGAAGCATTAGTTGAAAGTGGCAGTTGCTCGACATATTTTGTGCTCAACACCGTCACTCGGCTGCATATCGACCTCGTCGCTCGCACCAGCTGTTTCGAATCATTCCACAGCCCTTTGAGCGCTTCTCTACGAGCGAGAGACAGGGACCCTTCTATTTTGTGAATTGGCCCAAGAAAAAAGTGAACAATAAGTGATTTGAAATCACCACAAGGCGTGCAAATCGACGTCATGTCAGCGATGGAAACGCAAAGTCATCAGCCCGTTGCGCCTCACAAAGCCGCCGGGCTGAACAATATCCTCAACAACGATGACCGGCCTTCGACCAACGGCCCTCCACTGCAGCTACGGGACTCTGGCTTCTATTCAACAGCCGAGGCTTCCAGCAAGCGTGAGTTGTTCCCACTGCAATGCTCATTAAACTTTTTTACTCTCTTGGCTTCGGTTTCGGTTTCGGTTCGGCAGAATCTATGCGTCACCAATCCCCTTCCTCTCTGGGTAGGCTAACACCCTTTGACTTTCCAGACACATCCGCCGCCTCCTTCAGCGTGAATGGCCTTAGTCCGGCAGGCTCTGGATACCAATCGTCGCTTGCAGACAAGACGCCTTCCCCGGTGGCCACCAACTTGGTACCCCAAGCGCTCGTCTCGCCTTCGGCAAGCAACATGAGTGTTGCCTCCATGGTTTCGCCCACATCGCCGACCAGTGACCGGAGGTTCGACCGACCGACCTCGATTGAATCACAAGGACAGAATGGGGCCACCCTCGGCGAGAATCTCGCAATCAGTGGCGGTCCCAGGCGCGAGAGTGTTGACAGCAGAATTAACCAGGGCATCAGTGACATGCGCCTCGGCTCTTCCCCTTACGCTAGTAATAACCAGTCCACGAGCTCCATTCAAAATACTCTTCACTCTCAACGAAATCCTCGCCCGGGCCTGGAATCATTGTCAGTACACAGAATTTCCAATGGCTACCAGCCAAGCGCCGACCGAAACCCTGGTGAGCCCAAAGTCATCAAGACGGCACCAGCGATTACTGGCCCTGCGACTAGTCACATTGCCCGAGCTGCTGAACCGACCAAAGGTCAAGCCTGGGCTTTCCCTGAAGAAGAGATCCAGCGCGTGGGACCACCTGCCCACTACGATGACTCTCGACGCAGCAGCATCACAGAGTCTATCGCTAGCAGCCAATTCACTACCGAGTCCCGATTGCCCCCGGGTCAGCGAAGATTAGAGGATGGAGCTGATTATGCTCGCATGTCGACCGCATCCAATGAATTTCCTCCCGTGCACCATCATACGATGCAACACAAGCAGCTGAGCGACCTCCAGGCAGAAGAAGGAAGCGGTCCTCCCGGATCCCAGCCTTATAGTCGGACTCCCGAGTTGAGAGTTAGTCACAAGCTGGCTGAGCGCAAGCGACGGACAGAAATGAAGGAACTCTTCGATCAATTGAGAGATCTGATGCCTCAAGAACGAGGATCAAAGGCATCAAAATGGGAAATCTTGACAAAGGGTACGCCGACCATCCTTTTAGTTGTGCCCTGCTGTAACTGATCTGACCTTTCAATTTAGCTATTGCCGAACACCAGCGTCTAAATGACTCAATTCGGGCTCTCCAAAACCACTGCGCCAACGCCTCAACAGAGAATGAGATGCTACACCGTGAGGTGCAAGCTTTGCGCATGGAAGCTGCTCAGTTACGAGGGGAGATTGGCTCTTCTGGAAACCCTCCCCAGCAGGCGCCACCTCCACCACCCTCACAGGGCTCACAGCCGCCGCCGCCAGCCTCGTACGGCAGCGACATTTACGCCAATACCAACAGAACCGAACTGCCACCTCTACGCTCCATCCACAACGGACCGGACTCCATGACTGGGGTCCAGTACGATGCGCCTCGAGTCAACGGCTACCGACAGGAAAGATACTAGCAAGCTCAAAACCTGATCCTTTGGCCGGAGAATCTACGCAATCATGCAATGACTAGGTCGATACAGAACGGCTTCCTCTGATAATTTCCTATGTTACCATCCACCTTTTTGCCATTGGGCAAATGACATGATTTCACGACAGGCGGGATGGATTCGGCCTATACAACATCCACCACTAGCCATCACCGGGCGACAAGCAGTAAATCCGGTGTGCTGCTTCATCATCGAACTTCTCCGTGACGTCTCAGAAGGTTTAGGCTTCGTCTTGTGTTATTAAATGCTTTGATTTTCGCACCTGTTGGCTGATGCGGAATTTTGTTTAGTTTGGCCTGGCGGGCACTTGTACAACTACTGCCGGTGGGTGACGGCCGACTTGGGCTGGTCGGAAGCTGGCGGGTTCTCTTTGTTCAGGGATTTTCTCGCTCCTTCCTTTTTTTTTTCTTCTTCTTTTTTTTTTTTTTTTGTACAGCTCTCGTATCTCTTGAAATTTCGGCTGCTGTTATTGTGCCGACATGAAACGACCAACATCTCCCAATTCACTGGGCAGCACCGGATTTGCATGCAACGTCGCTGCATACACAAAAGCTTCGCCGGGGTTGCTAACATGCACGAAAGGCGGGGCGAATCGTTCATTTGGCGAAAGAAGACATGCATGCGAACGTGCATAAGCGAGTTACACAATATCGGCGCTGCAGCCCCCCACGGAAATGGAATTGCTATGTTCGTTTTCAGAGTGTATGTGAGTGACGAGTTAAGACCTTGGGGGAAGGGGGGAGGACAGGTCTTGATATTTTCAGAGTCCAGGGGTGACTGTATATACCCAATTGCTAGAGGAAACTAGATTCGGGAGGGGACGAAGGCAGGGGCAAAAGGGCTAGTCTTAGAAAGCCCACGTTGCGGAGTGTTTTTGTTTTTGGATTTGGTCAAGGAACGAGGATTCGGATGAGGTCAAAAAATTCAGGAGCAGGCGTCGGTTGGGATGGCCCACTGGATGTGAGATAGTACGGGCCATATTAAAGGGTTAATTGACTGATTTGATACGTTGTCATGTGGTATGTGCACGTTGTGCTTTGCATTTTGCATTCAAATGTGGCTGATGGATTTGTTGTGGTGGTGAAGAGTGACGGCACAGCTCAAAATCCAGCTAATACCTTGTTCTTCTTGAGTGAGTATCTTGAGGAGGTAGAGGGCGGGATGCGGCGTTCTTGTACTCGGCATATGCAACATTTCCTTGTTTTCGATTGGATGCCTGTGTCAACGTTGAACGGGATTGCGGCAGCATCTGCCGGCGGCGTTTTGCCCAACGCGGGAGGGGCCCGGGGGGGGCGGGATCCTCGGCATGTTGACTCCGTGGCCGACAAGTATTCACTAGTACAATCGTAACCAGCAAAGACGTAATCAATCTTTATAGATAGATAGTAAGGCAGTTGATTACGCGGTGACCCGAGGTGTGGGCGGACGGCGGACTTGGGTGCGGAGTTTCGGCCCCGATTCGGACCCCGTCGCTCCCCGTGGTGGCCATGTGGCCGTGTGGCCGGGTGCCCTCGGTGCGGACTTTGTGGGTTCCCGTCTGCGGACTTTGGCTGGTGGCTGGCTGACTGGGAGCAGACGTCGCAGGCAGTCCCTGGGTCGGCATTGGCGAAGGTGGCTTTTCCCTCCCAACTTGCTGCTGACAATTGCTCATCAGTCGAGCCGACCGTTTGGAGGCGGCACGCACTAACAAGGTCTAGGCAGCACTGGGCAGTTTTACTTTTAGAGTTGGGAAGAAGTGTCCTCAAGACCGTCGGCATTGGAAACAGGTTTTTTTTTTTCTCCTTGGAGGGCATGGGAAGCTACCGCTTGCACCATTTTATCCTTCATCTTGGTCTCTTTGTCCCCATTGTCACTCTGGTCAAGTTGCGTGCAGATGGCGGCGAGTTGATGGCCGTTTGCTCAAGTCTGTTTGTAAGCTCGAGGGGAAATACAGTGCACCGCGCTTTCCCAGTTGGGATACTCGGCGTGATAGGTGGGACCACTGCCTTTGTTCACTCATCCCAACTCCAGGCCACTTCATCTTCATACTCATCTTCATCATCATGAACGGCACCAAACGGTCATGGCATGACATGGACGACGCTGCTGCTGCTGCTGCTGCCGCTGCCGCCGTCACCATGGACTCCTTTACGGCGACGTTTGGGAACCACGGTCAAGACCACAGCACCGTCACTATCACCACAGACGGCACACGACTCGACGACAATGCATCTGCTGCATCGCGCCAAAAGAGCTGCAATGCTTGCGTGAGAGGCAAGAGACGCTGCGACAAGCGCACGCCACAGTGCAGCCGCTGCTCTGCAAAGGGCCTGGATTGCATCTACCAGAAACTGCCCCCTGGAGCATCAACAGCCGAAACGTGCTCATCCGCCGGAGCCTCCGCGGCCAACCTCACCACTGAGTCCGCCGCTGAGTCCGCAAGGCCGCTGGGCACCGTCTCCTCTTCCTCTGCCGCCAGCACCGCCTCCTGCGTCTCAGATGTGCCCGAGTTTGATATGAGCTTCGACATGGACAGCTTGGGCACCGATACTAGTCCTGAGAGCCTTCAAGCCGATATTGGCGTGCCTCTCAGCAACTCGACCCATGGCTCTGGCGGACTTGACTTTTCTATTGTGGACTTGATGGCCCAGACTGCCGGGGGGGAACACGACTTCTGGAACCTGCACCCTTTTGCGGAGACTTCGACCGATAAGTTGCAAATTCCGCCTGTGCCTACCGGTCACTGTAACATGACACCGCCCTCCATGCTTCATCAGAACTTGCAACAGCTCCAGCCCATTCGTGACCTGTCTCTCATCAAGGACGCTGACGCTGCCTGCATGGAGGTTGATCCGTTGGCCGTCCATGACCCCAACACACGAATCGGTTACATAGTGAGCTTCTTGACAAGTATGCATAGCACTTTCACGCAGACGAGAGCCTTGCCCTTTATGCATCCGCGTCTGTGGGTCGGTCAACTACCCAAAGTTATCCTTGCTGCGTTTTCAGCCTCGTCGGCATATACCGCGTGTGGTCCCGCGAACAAGGGATGGACTGTTCGTCTACTGGTGGATGCGGGACGAGAGATTCATCGCGAGGGCGAGCGTGCCATCTCCAATGACGACAAGCTGTCGCGCGTACAAGCGTTGTTGATTCTGAACTCGATGAGAATCTTTGATGGTGATCTGGGATTGAGGGCCGCGGCGGAGAGAGAAGTTCCCGTCCTGATGTCGTGGCTCAAAGAGTTGAATAGCATCAGGGAGAATCTGGAGATGGAGGAGAGTCTTGGTGGAGTGAAAGCAGCTGTGCGAGAGAAGTCACCAAAGTCGTGGGAGGTATGTTTGTCTGATTAGACGCTGTGTCCATTACTATTCCTTGTCCCCTTTTACTGACCAGGTCTGTCAGAGCTGGGTATTTTTGGAGAGCTGCCGCCGCACATTGATAACCTCGTACGCCATTATATGCATTTCGTGCATGCTCAAATCGGAAACTCGTGAGTGTTTCCATATTATGCCAAATCGTCTCGCCTATTCAAAACGCTGACAGCTCCTCTAGCCAACGATGAAATGTGGCGTGACGATATTGGTTTCACTGCCTCGCGCCACCTCTGGGACGCGCCAAATTCAGTCGAGTTCTACCGTGCGTGGCGTGAAAAGCCGCAGTTTTCAATCCAGAACATGGTGTTTAAGGATTTCTGGATGTACGCTCGACCGGATGATTGTGATGATTTTACGAAGCTTATGCTTACAACGTGAGTATATGGTTCCACCTTGAACATTAGTTTGAGGCAATGTGTGGGCTAACGGTTTCTCAGGCAAGTCGGTCTTGATGCCATGGCGCATTTTATGAATGGGGATGCCGCCATACCAGTAAATCCGGGGCGGGCACCTTGAAGTGGTTAGCAGACAAAAATCATTACATATGTATTGCGAAGAGCACTCCGGGAAAAAACTAAAAACGGGATCACCAATCACAGGACCATCTTGACCGCAAAAAGGGCAGCCGGAAAATGTAGCAAGACAGTCGGGGCGTCGATAATTGTCGATTCGAGATCTCGGTGTTGCAATTAAATGTACACGACGTACGAATCATGAAGGCGGAACACCTGGACAGACATGGGGACAACGAATGATGTTGGGTACAGAACGGCGTAATTCAAAAAGGCCAGGCTATGTCTATGCCTAGACCATGTACAATATCATAATACGATACTCACCTAGGCTCACTCGCTCACGCAATACCTACGCCGTGTCATCAGATACCCTCCAGACCAACCTCTCACCGCTAACGCTCCTATTGCGCAACTCATCCAACGCCTTCTGCGCCCTTTCCACCATGTTCTTGCCCTCAATCTCCCTGTATCTATTTGGCTGAACGACGCCCTGCGCAAGCAGCGTCGGTACAATCTCCGGCTGGAGATGCTCCTTGAAGAATTCATTCTATTCTGCCGAGTCAGCAAAAATAGCACGATACCGAAGTATCTCTCCTCGAAAAGACGGACAAAGAGAAAGAAAAGGGAAAACACCAACGAACCTCAAGATAGAAATGCGTCCTCACCCCCCTGACCTCAACGCCCCCCTCCCACCCGCCAACGTTGGCAACGTCCATCTCATACACGGGCTCCTCTGAAACACTCGCATCCCTCACAATGACGGGAAGCATGACCGCAACACGATCGCCACGCCTCGCAATCCTCTTCAGCGGTGCCAGGCTTCCCTCCAAGCTGCCTATACAATCTAGGATGAATGGCGTCCTGCCTTCAGCCAAGATCTCGTCCACCACCGCCGCCACCCCGCGCCTATAATCAAAACACTTCCGTGCCCCCAGGCCTTCCAGGTGGGCGTGGTGTGATGCGCCGCTCACGGCCAGGACGTTCGCGTACCCCCAGTGGCGGAGCACCTGCACGGCGTACAAGCCCACGCTGCTGCTGGCACCCCAGACCAGCACCGCTTCGCCGCGTTGCGGCTGTTGTTCAGCGGGCCAGGGAAGCGCGAGCCCCAGGTCCCGCGTGAGGCTGTGGAAGACGGTGCAGAGATTGACATTGACTGTGGCCGCCTGCTGCTCCGAGATGCCGACGGGGATCTTGGACGCCAGGTATGCCGCGCAGGTGATGTATTCCTGGTGGTTGGCTTCTTTGCCGCCGTGGAAGGCGAAGACGGAGACTTTGTCACCGACCTGGATGGCGTGGACGTCTGCGCCCACGGCGACGACGGTGCCGGATGCGCCGCCCGACCCGGACTGACTGGGATATGTGGTGATGAGGAGACCGCCGTCCGCGCGATGCAGGTCCAGTGGTGTTGAGGCCGTGTAGGATACCCTGAGGGTGATTTCAGATGGCGACGGCGCGTGTACGGGTACCGTGATTTGGATGAGTGGGCTGCGGGGGGAGGCGATTGCTACTGCTTTTTGGGTGGTGGGAAGCATGTTGGTGATGATGATGTGCGTTTGCAAATAGGCAATGGGTATTGCAAGTCAGACGGGGTGGATTGTGTGATTGGCTTTTCTGAACAGAACGATGAGACTATGAGATGCCGACGACCACTCTGGTCTTGATATACTTGCCACTTGTTGATTCATCTTTATTCCTCCATTGTGATAATTTGTAAGCTCAGCCCTGTAAGGCGGCCGTGGAGTCGGATCCTGCCAATGGCCGCACTGCTGACGGCGTCGGATAGGCCGGGCCTCTTCATGATGAACATGGTTAGTTATTTATAATGACAATATTTCCCGTGCCTTGTTAGTCACATACGCTATTCACCAATGCTTTTTCAGACTCCCTGCCGACGAACCAATTAGCCACTGCCCCCCCGTTCACAAGTGTACTCACGGCTTCGCTTCGCATTGGTCACCAGCAGTATCTCGGATCTGTCATTGCGGTACCAGACGGGATCCATCCCGGTACTATACACCTGTAAGTGGCAAAGAAGGCCTGTCACACCTATTAGTAGCATAAATTTTATAAATGGAAGCCTTAATTAGCAAACGAGCGGGTATGAACATACCGTCTCGACCGTGTCAAATACTCTACCGCCAACAAACGTCGTGGCTATTCCATAATATGCAGCCTTTTGTTATCTAGCAGAGACCTCTGATAATAACACCAGTGGAAGAATGGTAGTAAACTAAGGTTAGAATAATTGATAAAAATTTCTTTTAGGTATCTCCTTAACTATAAATAATAATACAGCATGATACAATCATCGTGCAAGCATTGCATCTGGAAACACCGTGTTTGGCCGTACCAAGCCAGAAAAAAAAATACCACGTAATATACTATATGAATAAAATATTCTACAAGGTAGGGATAGTAATTGCAGAGAGGAGAAAAGGTCATTATGCAGAGAGCAAACCAAGTACTATCTACTCTGGTAGGTAATCAAGGTAATCAACCGACTAATTGGTACCATGTGGTTTGTATATAGTATAGAATAATTCCCGCATTGATAACAATAGCCCTCGTAGCACAGTGGTAGTGCGCGTCACTCGTAATGACGAGGTCGTCTGTTCGATCCAGGCCGCGGGCAACACTTCGATTATCCGAATGCTTTTTTTTTGCTTGTTAGCCCGTTTGTTGTATCGCAGAATATATTTTTGAGCCACCAAGAATAGTAATGATGCTCATTGATGCTAGAAAATCATACTCTAGTTGTTGAACTGGCCGCTTGTCGTCTGCTACCCGGTCAACTCTTTGGGCAAAGCTAGCCCTTCCCTTTTCTTCACATTACCCCCAGTGCCTCCTTATGCCGGAAAATACAGGTCGGGGTTCTCATAGATGCTGCTGAATGGATCAAATGCGCTATTAGATAAAAAAGATTTCCACTTTCGCGACAGCTTCAATTGGTCTACCCAGGTATTTTCGTCTCGAGGAGTCCAATTTGTACATACCGGAGAGCATTGCTTGCACTTGGGACGCCGTAGAACATACTGGGAGCTTGCCTGTTGTCCAAGGCTGGTTAATGTCTTTCCATGTCTCTTTACGACATTTCCGACAACACCGGGTTATCTCGTTGGTGACGGGCCGAATATTGGTTTATTACCAGTATAGCACCATCGCCCCACATCGACGCTGAGGAAGCCGCTGGAACACAACTGGAGTATTTCCACCACCCCTGGGTACATTTATTATTAATGCGGCCGTCTCGTCTTTCTCAATGTGTATCACAACTTACGGTATAGAAACATGTCTACCACAACGACTATTAACTGAATGATACTGCATTTAGCCATTTACTCTTCTATTGGTAATTTTTAAGCTTTTCTTCTTCCCATCATGGCGAGAGCCAAACCACGTCAAAGCGTTTAGAATGCGTATTTCCGTCCCCCACGTCACTCAGCGTTGCAACTGGCCACCACAGCCAAGCTGGATGAGAGAAATAAGTAGCCAGTTTGACGCATGCATCGGCAACACTGCGCGCGCTCTTTACAAATGACGTCTTCAGATGCAGTAGCAACAGAAACGGCCCATTTTGCGTGTCGATGCATGACATCTTGGGTTCCCTTTTAAGCCTAAACTACATGACGAAATCGGACAACTTTCTTTACAGCTTGCCCTTTATTGGCTGTGTCTTATTAATTTCAGCATACATACGATCAATCTCTCCTCGGAATTCTCGGGCCGCTTGCGCTCTCTTCAGTTTCAACCTGTATCATATCGTCAGCGAATTGATCACTTGGCCCTGGCAGTTTTCGACAACTCTATGGTACTCACGTCGGTGTCAAAAGGTCATTGTCAACCGTAAATGGCTCAACATCAAGAAGAATGTTTGCAACATGCTCATACTTGTTGAACTTGTTCTTCCTCCCAATCGTCTGCAGAATATTGAAAAGCTCTCCCTGGACCTTTGGATTTCGGGCTGCTCGCTTCAAGGCGGCCACGTCCTCGTGGCTAATAGGCTGACCAAGAACTTTGGCCGCAAACGGTGCAAACGTCTCCGGGTTTATACCAAAGATGCCGACCAAGGTAGACTCTTGGCTATCACCGTGTACAAATGCATTCGCAATAAGGCTGCAATTCGCAGTGTACACGTTTTCAAGACGTTCGGGCGCCACATATTCACCTTGTGAGAGCTTCAATACGTTCTTCTTCCGATCGATGATGGTAAAACGGCCTAGTTCATCAACCGTTGCGACATCGCCAGTATGAAACCACCCGTCTTCCTCTATTGTTTTCTTGTTCTCTTCCTCGTTCTTGTAGTAGCCCTTGAATAAAATTGGGCCACGTACCAAGAGCTCCCCGCGGGGATATGGCTTGTCGTCAACACTGTACTGTAATTCAGGGATAGACTCCAGACAGATCTCAGCGACCGGGCTAGGAGGACCGACATGACCAGTGTCAAAGTCTCCAGCCAGCGGCACTGTTACGGCTCCGGCGGTTTCCGTCATACCGTAGCCTTGGGCGAGCCTCACTCCGAACATGGCCGAGAGGAACTCTTGAACCTTGGGGTCGAGTGGCGCACTGCCGCTGGCAAGCTTAGTTGCCCGGCCAAGACCAACTTTCCCCCTGATCTTCGGTGTGAAGATGCGGTCCCACAGCCAATGCTGAACAGTGGCTTGACCGATAGGGAGCTTCATGGAAGCCACTTTTGTGTCTAGGATTCGTTTGGACAAAGTTCCTCTGAACCCTTCAGCCTCAATCGTACCAGCTCTAATGGCACTGTTAAAACGGTTGAACAGGCGAGGCACAGACACAAAGCCCGTGGGTTGGAGAATGAGCATGTCGTCTACCAGTCCCAAGATATCTCCTCGGAAGAAGCCGCAACTCGCACCTTCAGCAAACGTGGCATGCTCAACCAATCTTTCCATGATATGAGCCAATGGTAGGTACGAAATTCCGACGTCGTCGCTTGAGGATTTTGCTCCAATGCGAGCCGCGGTGTTACCTGCAAGTGTTGCA